AAGTCGGCTCTGTGGCTAAGTCGATGCGAACGCTTCGTAATGCTGGCGTGCCGGGTTCGATCCTAACTGCGGGCCATGCGCCTTGCGTTGTTTCGACAGTGGTATCAAGAAGCCGACCGTCCAGTAAGCAATGGCAAACTACTGGATGTAAATTGCCTAGAGAAACCACACAACAGCCAGGGGCTGCTGGGGTTGGTTCTGCAACGTTCTGTAAAGGATACGCAGCTAATCTTATTTGTGCCAAGTGTTTGTTAAGAATCACACAGGTAACCAAACAAAGAAACGAATATAAACAGTGGGTTATTTGGTAAATCGCCCAGCACTTCAGTGTAGTTGATAGCGCGTTGGAGTTCAAAGGACAATTCCCATGCGTGACCTGTCTCAGGTTCCAGCCTGGGGATGGAAGAAAAGCCGCATACTCTCCCAGATTATTAACGGTGTAGATGGCACCGGGGCTGAAGGGCTTCGAGGTACACGACACTGAGCCAAATGAGCTATGCTCAAGTTCTTCTGGTTTTAAAAATGTTTCTTTCAATCCAACGTCACAACATTTCAAGTTTCAGCCAATGAGACATCTACAGCCAACGGGCTAGACAATCTGATATGTGCGACTGTGGCCTTGTTGAGATAGTCGAAGACCTACCTGTATTAGGGTTCATTTGATTTCTCTGATTTTTAATAATTGTGGTTATGTGGTTAAGCGGTGTTTCCGAGATCGTCACCACTTTCATTCCTGCCCTCAAGTTGTTTTACATGCAGACTTCAACCCGGAAAGAGAAAAACTACCTATCCGACCCCGTTACATAATAAGGCATAAATTATTGCCGCCCCCCCCCCCTGGACTTTTCCACTGTCCACCACTGGACTGCGGACCATGGATTGTAGATAACTGATCTGGACTTGCAAAAAAGCCACGTTAACACATTCTCTTGTGTACTGATCGCTGATTAACTGACTTTCTACCCCACCAGGACATCACACAAGCGATAAACACCCGATGACACAAAGTGCCACCATGTGGGTGAGGATCACCGTGGAGAGGTCCCAGAAACCGCCTTCAGACTTTAGGCCGTATTTATGGCCTGGCTATATTGCGGCCCCTGGCAAAAGCCAGAGTAGGGCTTCAAATAACGAAAAAATTCATCCTAAAAAGGACAGGAAATAATAGCTGAATAGTAGTTATACTGGGATAATACTGGTGGCAGTAACGCTCAGATAGTATATACACGTCAGCAGTAAACAGAGAACGTTGTTATGATTGGTTGCTTAACAGGCTCTTTGTGCGTATCTGTTCAGTTGCAAATTTGATCGTTTCCTGCTTTTTATTTAAGATGATGGAGGTGGAGGCAATCACTGCAGTTCAGTTTATACAGAGAAAATAAAATTACCTGAGGAATTATTGTGTCTGATTCTCAGTCGGTACTGCACATGTTGACGTCATAGTTATATTAAATGGTATGATAGAATAACTAATGTAGAACTTTGGGAGAGAAGTAAACAGGCTCCAGTGGACCAAGAGGTGAGGAAAAGACGCTGGCGTTGGATAGGACACACGCTGAGAAAACATGAGAACAGCATAACTAGAATGTCTTTGCATTGGAACCCACAGGGGCATAGGAATAAAGGAAGGCGAAAAAACACACGGAGAAGAGAGCTGGAGAATGAAGTTAGAAAGATGGGGAGGACATGGGGAGAGCTCCATGCAATGGCGAAGGATAGAACGACTTGGCGTGAGTTGGTTGAGGGCCTATGCTCCATTAGGGGATAGAAAGGCAGAAGAAGAAGACTGCACAAGTATCAAATACACAAATGTGGCATGAGTGGACATCAAGCATCCGTAGATCAACATCGCAGGAAATCACGTGGATATACAGTCTGTGATGTGCACCAGTGAGAAGCAATGAAAGAGCGGAATTTCTGGCTACAAAAGTGGTAGATAGGAGTGGGGGGGGGGGGAGGGGGGGGGGGGGCACCCGTAATGTTATTTATTACCTTTGCCTAAGCCTGGCAAAAAAAAAAAAAACATCTTCTAAAAGCAGCTACCGAATTATTGGTATGCAAAACACCATTGGAAAACTGCTAGACAAAATAGTGGCAACGAAAGTTACTCATAAATTATAACAAAAAAAAGTAGACTACTATCAACACTGGGAGGATATCGACCTCATAGAGATACATGGAGTAATGATGCAGTTTTCGTGTACGAAGTCTATGCAGGTTTCCATGCAGGAGTGGAAGTTAGTGCTGCGATGTTAGACTTGGAAGATGCATACATCAAAGTTCTCTTTGAAAAACCCAGACACCAGCTTCTAGATATCAACATTTCCCCCACACCCGTTAAACGGATAGCAGCAGCAGCACTTATCAAGAGAAGGGTTGATTTCAAATGTGGAAGACGGATCTCTGAGCTGAAAACCTCACACCCAGGATTACCCCATGGATCACTTTTATCACCAGCCCTCTTCAATGTTTTTACTGTTCACGAGATGAGATAAAATAACATACTAAAGAATGTGTGGACGAAGAATTAGGACTGGATCCTGCAAGTACGCCGTATGTGAGGAAGAAAACGATGTGTGTATAATCAGTGTTAGCATCTACACCTTAAGACATTTGCTGCGTGAGAGGGAGCATCAATGAGTATGCCCGGTGTGCTATTATGTCGATTCTTAGATCAGTAAATCAGTAATTCATTTAATAATGTCGTTTTCTAATTTTCACTTAAAGTAAAGCGAAGTTAATGTCCCTTTACACGCAATGGCCCACTCTGCATATTAGGCGAGACTAGTATATTTTTTTTACAGTATAATAGACCACTTCCATTGGTGATAGGGTCAAAATAACGACAACCGACTTGACTTCTCACCATTTCACTTTACATCTAAGGAGCAAAGGCCACGTACAAAAAAAAAAAAAAAAAACGGCTCCATGTAGATTTGAACCCTCGTCCTTGGGATCCACAGGCGAGTGTATACCCGCTATACCCGACGGCTCCCACTTTTCACTTGAAACTTTCATCCCGCCACCCACCAGCTGTTCAGTTAAGGACACCATATATCTCCAGCTGTTCATGTGAGAATCATATATCTCCAGCTGTTCATGTGAGAATCATATATCTCCAACTGTTCATGTGAGAATTATATATCTCTGGCTGTTCATGTGAGAATCATATATCTCTAGCTGTTCATGTGAGAATCATATATCTCTAGTTGTTCATGTGAGAATCATAAATCTCCAGCTGTTCATGTGAGAATCATAAATCTCCAGCTGTTCATGTGAGAATCATATATCTCTAGCTGTTCATGTGAGAATCATATATCTCTAGCTGTTCATGTGAGAATCATATATCTCTAGCTGTTCATGTGAGAATCATATATCTCCAATTGTTCATGTGAAAATCATATATCTCCAGCTGTTCATGTGAGAATTATATATCTCCGGCTGTTCATGTGAGAATCATATATCTCTGGCTGTTCATGTGAGATTCATATATCTCAACTGTTCATGTGAGAATCATATATCTCCAGTTGTTCATGTGAGAATTATATATCTCCAGCTGTTCATGTGAGAATCATTTATCTCTAGTTGTTCATGTGAGAATCATATATCTCCAGCTGTTCATGTGAGAATTATATATTTCCAGCTGTTCATGTGAGAATCATTTATCTCTAGTTGTTCATGTGAGAATCATATATCTCTAGCTGTTCATGTGAGAATCATATATCTCCAGCTGTTCATGTGAGAATTATATATTTCCAGCTGTTCATGTGAGAATCATTTATCTCTAGTTGTTCATGTGAGAATCATATATCTCTAGCTGTTCATGTGAGAATCATATATCTCCAGCTGTTCATGTGAGAATAATTTATCTCCAGCTGTTCATGTGAGAATCATATATCTCCAGCTGTTCATGTGAGAATCATATATCTCCAGCTGTTCATGTGAGAATCATATATCTCCAGCTGTTCATGTGAGAATCATATATCTCCAGTTCTTCATGTGAGAATCATATATCTCCAGTTGTTCATGTGAAAGTCATAAATCTCCAGCTGTTCATGTGAGAATCATATATCTCCAGCTGTTCATGTGAGAATCGTATATCTCCAGCTGTTCATGTGAGAATCATATATCTCCAGCTGTTCATGTGAGAATCATATATCTCCAGCTGTTCATGTGAGAATCGTATATCTCCAGCTGTTCATGTGAGAATCATATATCTCCAGCTGTTCATGTGAGAATCGTATATCTCCAGCTGTTCATGTGAGAATCATATATCTCCAGCTGTTCATGTGAGAATCATATATCTCCAGCTGTTCATGTGAGAATCATATATCTCCAGTTGTTCATGTGAAAATCAAATATCTCCAACTGTTCATTTAAAAATCATATATCTCCAGTTGTTCGTTTGAAAATCAGCGTGATGTTCATTGGAGAATCCCGTTGTTGTTTTTTTTTTACTGTTTACTGCGCAGTAGCTCCCACCCTCCCCGAGGAGACAGGAGCCCACTCTGGTAAGAGGCTGTGATAAAAGCAGCAATGTGCTATCATTTAGCATTCTGTTCCCTCTGGGTTTCATTGTCCCATTTTCAGAGGGAAAATAATAGAGCTACTGCCCCTTTACAAGCATGTCGTGAGAGACGACTAATTAGCTGTGTTCCCTTCGAAGTCGATGAGCCTTGCCCGAGAGGCAGGGAATCAAAATTTTACAAACTAATCTTCAGAACAGATGTGTGCACCGAACTCAAGTTCTGTAGGATTACAAAAGTCAAGAAATGGACGAACAACCAAGATTTCCCGCTGGAGTTTACACCCGGTGAACGCAAAGAAAAATATTTACCTTTTTTTTAAAAACCTCTACATAATTTGTTCCTACTTATTTCACAGGGCAGAGAACCAAGTAAATCCCAACGTTTCGTTTCGGCAGTTCGGGTTTCTATGACAACCTATAACTAGCGTCACAGAGTGTTGATGTTAAACAGGTGACTGGCTCGGGAACAAGGATGGGAGCCAAGAATTCGGTTACCAAACATCACCTGGAGCCGCCCAGCACAGGTAGACAGTTTAATTTAGTTGTACTAGTTGTAGGTTAACTGGTTTATCTTTCAGTACACGATTGTTTTGTTAATAAGGATTTATGATTTTGTAAAAAAAAAAAAAAATGCTCTCTCTCTCTCTCTCTCTCTCTCTCTCTCTCTCTCTCTCTCGCTCTCTCTCTATCTCTCTCTCTCTGTTCTATTCCATTTTCCAGAATTATTACTTACTTAGCACTACTCATTTGCATACCATTTAGTTCCCTGTCAAGATTCATCCTGTTGAAGCTTGCCTGTCTGCCTACCTTTCTGCTGACACATTTTACCTCAATTCCCGTGTGCTTTTTCATCTGCCGAAAGCCTTTCTTTTAAATAATTATTTTTAAAAAATGGGGGGAAGAGAGAGAGAGAGGGGGGGGGGGGGGTGCTCAACACAAAGTGTCTGATAGAGTAGCACTGAAAATGTGTGCCTTTAAAGGTGCTAGTACTGTGTACCTTAGTCTACAAACAGAAAAATAGCCTTGCAACTCACCACTTCAACCCCTTTCCCATTTTCTCCAGGCTATCTACATATATACCGACTGACCTAATTATCTGTATGTCCACCTGCTTATCTTTACGCTGCTTACCTAGCCAGCAAACTGCTAATCTACCTATCGCCTTGATTGTCTACCCAGCTTTTTATCTATACACCTGTGTAGCTGCCTCATTCAAAACATCTGGGCTGCTCTTTTCAGGCGTCAAAGGAATTCTGAAGATTCTTTTGTACCACCACTTCTCCGAGGCCTCCACTAAACATAACATGTAAAAATATAAATAATATGATGATTGGTACATGTGAGAAACACTCATTCATACAACCTGCATTATTTGGGCCAGAAAGAGTTGAGGTGTATTGGGCATATGATTCCAGTGCCATGATTGTATAAATCACTCTGCGTTTGCTAGGTGGTGTGGTCAGTATCACTCCAGATCAACTTATCAGGAGAATTCCTGGTACCCACTTTAGGCTGAGTTAACATAGAACAGGTCTTAAAAAAAAACAGGACAAGGAAAGGGATGAATTCAATAAATTGAAGAAATGCCTCAATAACCTGTGGTATCAACAGATACATGACAAAGAGGACAGCAGTATTTTGGGTATATCCTGAGAAGAAGCGAGCAGAGAATCACTAAACAGTCACTGGCAGGAGAGACAAAGGAATTGATAAAATTAGGTCGCACAGGGCACATCTTAAAAACATTGATGGGAAGGTTCTTTCATTATATCCTACCCCCAGATGACGTCACAGGACAGTCTAACGTTTTAGAGGGTGGTAAGACTGTGTTTCCCGGCTTTCTGATGCTTGTAACCAACCCCAAAACACCTAGAGCTGGCCTTAACCTCAACCCACCTACATCCCATGAGATAGAGCAGCCTAGGTCCCATGATTGCATGCAGCCTATCTACCACCCCCTGAAATATTAGACTGTTCCAGGACCTGTGGATTTCTCCTGTTTAGTGTAGGATATTAAGAAAGCACCGAAGAGACGCAATGATGCTGGACTGGATTTCATCCATGATATTAAAAGGATGGAATAGAATGGAACCGAAGAAAAGTCTGTGAGCCCTTTGTGAGGATGATGATGATGGCTATATGGGAACCTACAAATATTGAAAAAATAAATCTATGCATTTACTTTTTTGCCACTTGAAGCCACACAACCAACATATCCAGTTGGATCCCATCTAATCACATTTGGATCACATTTAATGTCTTTCAGCCCGTCTATAGTGACTTGAAATGTATAGTTAGTGTCATGTGCAGTGGTTTCATGCATGTGCAAACGTTCAAGAGGTCAAGACATGAATACATTACCTAAAAATAGCATTTTGGTTTTCCTTTATCCAGATAGCTTTTTATTTGCCAAGTTGATGCCAAGTTTTTCTGTAAGCCTTAATGATAGAGGTCAGGGGTCATTGAATAAGTCAGCATAGACATATTATTTTTAGGCCTGTGGAAATGAATTCTGTTGCATGCTTCACCTTATTCCTGTTTATTGATTAATTCCTTCATATATCTTTATATATTTATGAGAAAAAAAATGGAAAAGTGTAGATAAATAGATTTTTCAAATTTATTACAACATGTGTAATGGTTTTTGTTTTTTGTTTTTACAAGTTATTTTTTTTTTTTTTCTGGAGTTCCATGGGGTCATGACCAATTTGTTCTAGTGTTGCAAGGATGAAATGGGTAATGGAAATGCAAATCTATGACCATTTACTTCCCTGGCAGGAAGCAACAGAGATGAGGTTTCTGAGACGAATGTTACAAATACCTTGGACGGCCAGAGTAACAAACAACAATTGCTTGAAAGAAGCTAATGAAAGTAGATCTTTATCTACAACAATAAGAAAGAGACAAACACTGTTCTGTGGCCACATAATGAGAAGAGAGTTGAGTTGAGTTGATTCAAGAACCGTCATCACAGAACTTGGAGCATTCCCATAAACACTCGGTCTTCTTCTTCAGCAGCCAGTGCAGAGTGCCAATACAAATGGTGCCAGAAGCATTCTGATTAAACGACCCTCTTGCCTTTCCTCTGAGCCTCAAACATCGGCAAGAACCCCTTGCCACTCCCCCCTGCATCAATCTCACCAGGTTGCGGTGATTCATCTACTCCTCTGAACTGTTCACGCTGTAACACAAGGCCTAACCACGTCTGCCCTATCATGCATCAGTATTCCACCAAGTTGTGCAGAGCCGGCAAGTCTGTCTGTCTGTTCATTTCCCAACATATTGGTGGTTCCTGGAGAAAAAATCCAAACAATACTTCACACCCGTGTCCTTCGCAATGAAGCATGCCACTCTGCACGAAGCATGCCTGTCCTGACCTTCCTAAGCATGCTTTCTGAGTCAGTTACAATCACGATGTGTGTGTGTGTGTGTGTGTGTGTGTGTGTGTCATGTTCTCTAACCAGTGGAAAACTTCAGTGACTGCCTCCACCTCCATTCTTAGGCTGGATATTGTGTAATCAAATCTTAGCTCTCCTGCACCAAACGTCGACCGTTAACTTTTGCTAAAATACCCCAAGCACTTCTTTTGCCTCTCGACATTGAACCGTCTATGTAAATAATCAATTCCTCTGAGTGAGCATTATCTTGAATTATTGCTGAATTTCTACTTCCATGGCACCTGCAGGCCAGTCTCTGTATTCCTGGCTCAGCGTGATTAAGACCCTACACAAGTCTAACTGTTCAGCTGGTCCCTTGACCGCCTCCTCTCCTGTGCCCAGAGCTTTGTGCAAAAGGTGATCTGTGCCTGCATCACCTTGTGCCTACCTGCAACAGTCGGCAAACCAAGTATGTATCGCATACACACCACTGGGGTGTCTCTGGTGCAACCCAGAAGGACCGGCATAGCTGCCTTCTGTATGCGCTTTAGCTTGTCCATCTGACTCTGGGAGACTAAGCAGTCCCAATCCATAATCAACCACTGACAGGATCAGGTGGTGATATAGTGTGAAAAGCATTCTCTGCTCTATGTCAATTGCAGCCATAGTCTTAAGTGAACTGAATCCTTTTTGGCATCTTGTCCCAACACTCTCCACATGGTCCTTAAAGAACAGGCTCCTATTAAATGTCATTAAGAAGATAGACATTGGAGAACATTGTGACAACTGGAAAGATCAGTGAAAATGGGTAGAGGCAGACCAAGAGAGATGATGCTGGATGGGCTGAAGTGATGGCATGGAGGGATATCATCGAGAGAGCTGTTCCAGGCAACCAGGGATAGTGATCTGTGGAGACGTGTGAGCTCTTACGCCAGTTGGCAGGGCACACAATGATAAAGCTTTTTTTTAAATTTGAAATAATGTGGATGCAAATAATACATCAGACAATTTGTTGCCAGGCATCACGTAATTACTCAGAGATACATCAACATGTAATAAAGCATACAAACAAGTTTTTGTGAAAACACATCTGATAAGACACAGCCAAATGTGCCAGGCAATAAATTGTGCAAAGTTTTGTCTGTGTCCACAATTTTTAAATTTACAATGGGCAAAATGGTAAAATACTATGTTGAATTTTCAAAATTGTTTTTGATAACAGGAAATGGCTGACTGTACTGTTTTCTCTGTTTACAGCTGCAGCCAGCAGAGGTCATCAGTACGAAGAAATCGATGATGTTTTGCTGGTCACTCGTCAGAAGTTGGACCAACAGATGACCACTTCATCAAGTACAAATTTACCCACAGGGGCAGTCACAGTAGATGACCAAGCTTCAGAGCTGAAGTCCAGATCTAAAAGCCTCCCTGATGTGGTTGTGGCTTCAGCTGCTGCAGCTGTCACACCTACTGCATGCAGCGCTACAGGAAATAAGCGGTATCATCATTATGAGGAGATTAATGACGAGCAGCTTTCATGTAGCCAAAAATGTTTGAATGATAACAAGATAAAGCAGGACGATGGGCTGAAAGCTAAGGCAGGGAGGGATAAACACAAGAAAAAAGAAAATGAGGTCACATACACTGTATCGTCTAATGCAGCTTCAAAATTAGATGCTCTCCCACTTAGTTCTGGGCATACAGATCGCCACCACCCATATGATGAGATTACTGAAGAAATGCTAGGCTCAACCAGTGCCAAAAAGATAGACAAAGAAAATGTTTCGAAATTAAAGAATAGTTCTAAGGAAAAGGTTGAAAAGAAGAAGCAAACAGATTTATCATCAGTTGATGAAGACACGTCTGTGGAGACAACATCCAACCTCAACATTTCAACCAGTAACATGCAACCAGTCTCACAAGTTCACCACATTTGTGAAGACATTAGCGATGACCAGTTAATTTCAAATCAAAAGAACAAGAAACCCAAGAAATATGAAAAATCAAAGAGCAAAGATTCTAAAGACAAAGTTGGTAAGAAGCCACAAAAGACAGTTATAGAAAACAGTATCACAGAGAATCATGTTCCATCTAATACACGGTTTGTTGTGAAAACAGGGTCAGGAAATGTTCTGCCCCGTTACCATCCATACGATGAAATCACAGAAGAAGAGTTAGATTCAAACAGAAAGGTGATAGGAGACAAAACTGGCAAACTGCAGAAACAGAAAACAGAAGATGGTCAGTACAAAAACCAGGCAGTAAATAACTTTACAGAAACAGAATATCTAAATGTCCAAGCAAGTTTTGCTCAGTCGAGTGTTGAAAACAGTTGCTCTCGAGAACAGAATGAGGAAAAGCACGAAAACTTAGAGGACATGTATGCTGTGCCTCAGAAGAAGAAACCAAAGGTATGATGAATGCATGTTTTTCATTTTTTTTTTTCTTTATTCGTATTTGTTTGTGTTCCTGTTTTCTGTTTTTCTGCATCCTTATTTTATTCTGATTTACTCTACTTTCATTTTTTTTTTAAATTAGGTGTAACTTTTTTTAAATATCTAAAAAATAGAATGTTATTTCTGTAAATATTAAAATTTTCTGTCTATGAACATTACAGTAAAAAAATAAAAAAAGAGAAATGACATATTTTGTCTTTAAGCAGATTCAGTTTGATTCAGTGTGTGAAGGATAGATACAAAAATAATAAGCTATAGTAAGTGATTAACATCTCTTTGATCCTGAGTTAATAGATTACCTGGCAGTTTTCTGTCCTTTCAAACTTTTTTGTGTGTTAATGAACAGACAGAATAAATTTATGATAAGACACAAAACTAGAAGAAAGACTTTGCACGTTTTGAATGTGAAAAACCCATTGACTCCCGAAAATACAAAACTATATGCAAGATTGAGAATTCTCCCAGATTAAATTTGAATGCTGACAACTAACCAACAAAATAATATTTAAAAAATGTTATATAACTTCTTTGCATTCACACGTAGATCCACATTGATACTACCCAATGTATGCACTGAGCAAGGTGTCTCTATTGTTTAGATTGAACACTGATGATGGTATCTGTATGCAAACATGATAATTATTCATTCACAAACAAAACTTTAATCTTACAGGACAAGCAAACCAAAGAACTTAACTATATTGAGGTGGAGTTCAGCTCTACGGCCCCTAAAGTTGAAGTCAAGAGCCAGTATTCACCAACAGCCTACTCCAATGTGGTCAGAAAAGATGGGAAAATACTTCTTTTGGAATCCCAACATTAGCTGGAGTATCATTGTGCCATCTGATTTCTGTCTCATGTATGTCATGTTTAATCAGTCAGTGAGGTGCCATCATTTTAACACTGTCCTCCATTTTCAAAGATTATACACTTATTCAGTACACAATCAGCCGCTATGTTGTAGTGACTATACTGTCACCTGTAGATCCAAAAGTCGTAGGTTTAAATCTAAACAGAGTTGAATTTATTTTTAACAGTGAACCTGTCGCTAAGATACTATCTACTTAAGTGGGTACTAGGTAAAGTCCTGTGAAGTAAAGGCAGCTAGTGTATTGACTACACCACCCACCGAATGCTGACTGGCCTATAAAATATAGATCTACCACAGTATGTCTGATATGTGGAAAAAAGAGTTCAGTATGTGAATATTTCTATCAGTCTCTGATTAATATTTGATCTCCTTCTGTTCCCAACAGGTAACCTATATTCTTGTTATTCATTGTTACAATTTCTGCAACAAAATTTTCCGACTGTAATCTTGGCAGAACTTCATGACTGTAATCTTGGTACAACTTTCCGACTGTAATCTTGGCAGAACTTCATGACTGTAATCTTGGCAGATGGCTTGTGGCACTGCTGAAAAATATGGAGTCCCCATAGGGGCCCATGTCATTCACCTCAAAACTGGTATCATTCATGTCCCATTTTCACATATCTTCAGTCATAGCCGAGGCTTACCATGATATCTTCAACTAATTTATAATGGAAGCTAGTTATTGTTTTGGAGTTACTCCCCCTGTACATACATAATTATTGTGTACTCACAGAGCTTCAACAAAACTGGCAGTCATCTTTGGACTGAATTGTGTCATGCCATTTTCTGATTGCTTTAATGACACTTGCATACGCTGTTTGCTTTCTCGTGATATTAATTATTTACTATGACACGAAAACATTAAATTTTTTATATTAATACTTTTATATATTTAAAAACATATTTTTTAGTGTGTCTATAACTATCTTTATGTTATAGATATATCCACGTGTTTGTTGGAATGATGGGTATTTTGTTTTTGTTTTGTATATTTTGTTGTAACAATGGCTATTGTGTCTTTGTTCTATATCTTTGTTGTAAAAGCTACAAAATCATTTACGTCCTTTTTAGGATTAAATTTTTCTTTATTTGAAGCCCTACTCTGGCTTTTGCCAGGGGCCGCAATATAGGCAGGCCATAAATATGGCCAATTGTCTGAACGCGGTTTCTGGGACCTCTCCATGGCGATCCTCATCCACATGGTGGCACTTTGTGTCATCGGGTGTTTATCGCTTGTGTGATGTCCTAGTGGGGTAGAAAGTCAGTCAGCCTGTTGTAATACTGGGTATTGTGTCTTTTTTTTTGTTTTTTGTATGTCTTCTGTAATTATTATTATTTTGTTTTTGATATGTATGTATTTGTTGTAATAATGAGTATTTAATTTTTGTTTCTTATGAGTTTGTTCTTATGAACGGCATTTTTATTTCATATGTGTGTGTGTGTTGTAATGATGGATATTTTGTTTATATTTCATATGTGTGTGTGTGTTGTAATGATGGATATTTTGTTTATATTTCATATGTGTGTGTTTGTTGTAATGATGGATATTTTGTTTATATTTCATATGTGTGTGTTTGTTGTAATGATGGAAATTTTGTTTATATTTCATATGTGTGTGTTTGTTGTAATGATGGATATTTTGTTTATATTTCATATGTGTGTGTTTGTTGTAATGATGGATATTTTGTTTATATTTCATATGTGTGTGTTTGTTGTAATGATGGATATTTTGTTTATATTTCATATGTGTGTGTTTGTTGTAATGATGGATATTTTGTTTATATTTCATATGTGTGTGTTTGTTGTAATGATGGATATTTTGTTTATATTTCATATGTGTGTGTTTGTTGTAATGATGGATATTTTGTTTATATTTCCTATGTGTGTGTTTGTTGTAATGATGGATATTTTGTTTAAATTTCATATGTGTGTGTTTGTTGTAATGATGGATATTTTGTTTATATTTCATATGTGTGTGTTTGTTGTGATGATGGATATTTTGTTTATATTTCATATGTGTGTGTTTTTTGTGATGATGGATATTTTGTTTATATTTCATATGTGTGTGTGTGTTGTAATGATGGATATTTTGTTTATATTTCATATGTGTGTGTTTGTTGTAATGATGGATATTTTGTTTAGTTTTCATATGTGTGTGTTTGTTGTAATGATGGATATTTTGTTTATATTTCATATGTGTGTGTTTGTTGTAATGATGGATATTTTGTTTATATTTCATATGTGTGTGTTTGTTGTAATGATGGATATTTTGTTTATATTTCATATGTGTGTGTTTGTTGTAATGATGGATATTTTGTTTATATTTCATATGTGTGTGTTTGTTGTAATGATGGATATTTTGTTTATATTTCATATGTGTGTGTTTGTTGTAATGATGGATATTTTGTTTATATTTCATATGTGTGTGTTTGTTGTAATGATGGATATTTTGTTTATATTTCATATGTGTGTGTTTGTTGTAATGATGGATATTTTGTTTATATTTCATATGTGTGTGTTTGTTGTAATGATGGATATTTTGTTTATATTTCATATGTGTGTGTTTGTTGTAATGATGGATATTTTGTTTAAATTTCATATGTTTGTGTTTGTTGTAATGATGGATATTTTGTTTATATTTCATATGTGTGTGTTTGTTGTAATGATGGATATTTTGTTTATATTTCATATGTGTGTGTTTGTTGTAATGATGGATATTTTGTTTAAATTTCATATGTGTGTGTTTGTTGTAATGATGGATATTTTGTTTATTTTTCATATGTGTGTGTTTGTTGTAATGATGGATATTTTGTTTATATTTCATATGTGTGTGTTTGTTGTAATGATGGATATTTTGTTTAGTTTTCATATGTGTGTGTTTGTTGTAATGATGGATATTTTGTTCAGTTTTCATATGTGTGTGTTTGTTGTAATGATGGATATTTTGTTTATATTTCATATGTGTGTGTTTGTTGTAATGATGGATATTTTGTTTATATTTTATATGTGTGTGTTTGTTGTAATGATGGATATTTTGTTTAGTTTGCTGTAATGATGGGTATTGTGTTTTTATTTTGTATTTGTTGGTAGTAGTGATGATTATTTTGCTTTGTTTCATATGAGTTTGCTGTAATGATAGGTATTTTCTTTTCATTTAGTATGTTTTTTTTTCCCCTCAAGATTCTCTGTTAATTGACTACTTTGATGGGCTGCAGTAATCTTCAGCTGATTTATTTGAATCAGTACAAGTACTCCCCCGTGTGGGTTCCGGGGCCCCATTGTGGGGAAAACAAGAATAGACCCACTGCCTCCCCAAAAGCATGTCGTAAGAGTCGACTAATTGGGGAGCTTCCTTTGAAGTCGGAGTGCATCTGCCGGAGAGGCAAGGAACCAAAAGTCTGTATTCAAGAGAATGAGATCTGTAAAACTGATGCACACGCAACACTCAGGTTCTGGAGCGGGACTGCAGTTCAGTAGTGGACGATCAACCAGAACTTTCCGCCAGAGTGTACAGCTGGTGAACACGAAGAAGAAGAAGAAGAGTACAAGTACTATATTTTATGCAGTGTGTTTTTACTCTGAGAATGTCAGAAAGTAGGACACTATAACTGGGGTTCAAGGAGGAATAAGATAAGAGGAAGACAAGAAGGAGCAGGACAGGCAGTCAAACAGATAAACTGACAGGCAGGCAGAGCAGACAGAAGAAAATAAAAATTGAAAAAGCAAACAAAAGGCTCAAGAGGGCATCAAAACGCTGAGTGTCAAATATGAGGAAGAGACAAAAGTTACCAAGCATACATAACAACCGAACAACATGATGAAAAATGACGTGATATGAGAACAAAAATATTTATATATAAAACACTGGCAAAGTCATTTAAAATAGTTTAATATCCAGCAAATTATATTCAGTACAGTTTAATTTAACAGACTCTTCAAGTGTGAGTGAAACCAAATATTTACACAGCTGATTTCAAAATACTGCACACAGATTTGATTACATTACCTCGACACACTATACACAAACCTTCACCAATGCCAAGGCTGGGACTGTGAGCTTCAGTAGCAGACAAGTTAAACAAACATAGAGTCCTAGCTTAGATAACTAATCAGTAATCAAACATTACCTTTTAACAATTATAAACACATTTATTTACAGTGAGTAAAAACTGACATTTTTTGTGCCAAAGTCGGTTTAAAAGACTTGTGCTGTGTTTTCTAAGTTATATTATCTTGAACGACAGCATACATTTATATGAATGGGATCGCATAAATCAAGGAAGCAACTTGAAAGGAGCAGGTGCACTTTTCCATAAACGAATTCTGTAGGTAGAGAATAAACACCAAAACAATTAACTCAGGGGATATAACAAATAATATTTTATGTGTTCATTTAGACATCCACAATTACGTCCCCTAGTATTTTTCAGTCATAAATTACGCCATAGGGAAAACCCATAAATTGATTATTTATTTAGAAAGCAACGACACCCGCGCTTGTGAACACACACACACACACACACACACACACACACACGCGCGCGCACGCACACACAAACACATATATCACTTGCTCACTCAGTCACAGGCACTGTTATCTTTTGTGCCTTACCATAGAGCTGTAACTTATTCAAACATAAAACAAAGGCGAAAGACCAATTTTCATGAACGAAAAAAAAACTGTATTCCAGTCATCTCCTTTTGAGATGGAAATTTTCGTTTTTTGAAGCCCCACCCTGGCTCTTGTCAGGGGCCGCAATATACCCCATCCATAAATATGGTCTAATGGCTGAATGAGGTTTCTGGGACCTCTCCATGGATGATCCTCACTTACATGGTGACACTTTGTGTCATCGGTTGTTTATCGCTTGTGTGATGTCCTGAAAGATGATAGATAGATAGATAGATAGATAGATAGATAGATAGATAGATAGATAGATAGATAGATAGATAGATAGATAGATAGATAGATAGATAGATAGATAGATAGATAGATAGATAGATAGATAGATAGATAGATAGATAGATAGATAGATAGATAGATAGATAGATAGATAGATAGATAGATAGATAGATAGATAGATAGATAGATAGATAGATAGATAGATAGATAGATAGATAGATAGATAGATAGATAGATAGATAGATAGATAGATAGATAGATAGATAGATAGATAGATAGATAGATAGATAGATAGATAGATAGATAGATAGATAGATAGATAGATAGATAGATAGATAGATAGATAGATAGATAGATAGATAGATAGATAGATAGATAGATAGATAGATAGATAGATAGATAGATAGATAGATAGATAGATAGATAGATAGATAGATAGATAGATAGATAGATAGATAGATAGATAGATAGATAGATAGATAGATAGATAGATAGATAGATAGATAGATAGATCCTAGTGTAAATTTTGGGAATCCTGTGAGGGGAAAATTAAAGGGAGGAGCGGGGATAAAAAGGGGGGGGGGGGGGGTGGACAGATTAGAACTACTGACACACCAACAAGCAATTCGTAATTGTTGTCGAAGTAGAGGCTTACTTCGAAGTCGGAGCGCATCTATCTGAGAGGCAAGAAGTCAAATGTCTGCAAACTAGTAGCCATATACGTCTGATATCCTTGAAAAACTCAAGTTCTGGAGTACTACTACAGTCCAGAAGTGGATGAACAACCAAGATATTTTGTCCAAGTTTACAGTCGGAGAAAGCGAAGAAGGGCAAGCAGATGAGTAAAGATGGCGTCCTTGTCAAATATCCGTACGCTAACATTAAGGCAGCAGCTCCGACGGGACAAACAGACAGAAGGAAGGAAGCATGACGTCATCCGTGGAGGTTAACTTCAAAAGAAGAATCTGAACTCACGACTCATAGGACTTATAGTAGGGCATAGTCTCATCTGCTGCTTGTTATTTATTTAACATGAAACAATAAAACCCAAACCCATTGATAAATGATCATACTTCATTGCTGAGACAACACCTGTTGACTGATTTTCCCAAAAATTGCGAATAACAACAATAGGGGCAGCAAGAAAGTTGTAGGGGGTGGGGGAGGGGGAGGGGGTGGTGGTGGGGAGGGTGAGGGAAATCACCCAATTTTTATCAAAAGTTGGCTAAACTATTAATGTCACTCAAGAATAATTGTTCTGATAGTGTTTCCGGGCGTTTTATCTGGAGCTGGTGTGATCATAGGGAATCGCTTTTCACAAATGCCTCTTACAAATACTGATGATTATTTCGTGGGCTCTGCTATTTTAGAAATGATATCCGAATTGCAGCTAACCATGGTGCTAGTGTTGCTTATGCTGATGCGGCTACTCTTACTCCCTTCTCCTCCTGCCACTACCCCCACTACTACCACCACTACACTGCCACCACCTCTACACTACCACATCTTCACTACCACCACCACCACCACCACCAGACTCAATTTACTACCATTACTACTACTTCTACCACAAAGACAACCACTGTTATTATTATTATTATTATTACTTTTATTATTATTACGACTACTGCTACACACACGCATACATACACACGCACACACAACCATCACTGCTTGAATTACTACCCCCACTATTACTACCTTCACTGTTGCTGTTTCTACTTCATTTTGTTTTATTTTAGTTTATATTTATGATAAACTAGCTTCGTGTCCTGTCCTATTCCAAACATTCACTCTACACACTTACACAGCTGAAGGCATGTCCACCATTATATACACCCACATCTTTGAGGCCTAATGATCAGTAGTTTTTGCTTTTTTTTTTTGGGTCCAACATTTACATCCATATGTTGAAACTAGCTCTATGCAACAAGCAGGACATATCTTTCAAACCACCAACAACAACGATTAATTATATTGTATTTATTTCATTTTATAAAATATTATTCTCGCTGATCCTATCCTCTTCTTTATCTTAGTGAGGCATATATTATATGCTATTTATAGAAAACACAGCAAAAAAACAACAACAAAAAACCAAAACAAACAATGAAAACGTCAAAAGACGCGTTCTTATTTACATAACGTTTATGGCAAGTATTTTGTTAACTGCTAAATGTTCTCACTGTGTTTCATTTATGCAGGCTTGGAAAGTTCAGTAAACATTCAAACTTCAGCTCAGTTCCTTTTTTTTTTAAAAAGAAACATTTGCAGGATATAATCAAATTGTATGAATTCATTCAGAGCTGTAACAGGTAAGAGCATACATGTGAATTATCACGATACATATACACAAGCACATTTTAGCAGATTACATATGCAAACTTCAAAATGTATAGCAACAAAACCATTGTCATCACATCATCACCAGTAGTTTCATATTTGTTTACTTTTTTCTTTGCGTTTTCTCCTTCTTTGATTTTATCTCCTTCTTGTCCTTATGCCCACCTTACTCCTCCACTGAGTCTTCTCCCTCTTTACACAGTTTTCTCCCCTTCCCTTCCCACAATCGTCACGTGGTCATTATTGTGATGGTAATCATCGGAAGTGTCATGGTGTTTTGTCAAAATTCACCTGTTCTCTCAGCGAGGCGCTGTCGTCATTCTGGAGATAACAGGTGCTAATCCTAGTGGGATAAATATAGCTTCCAACTGTTACGCTCTCTAGTCTGCTCTCTAAAACATGATTTGTCTTTCACTTCTATAAGAGTAAATCAATGCCCGTTAATTTATTTTTCTTCATTTTATTAGTATTACTAGCTGTACCCGGCCACGCAAAAGAAAAAGAAACAAAATAGAAAGAGCGCGTGTATAATATGGGTAATTTCGCAATATGGGCGCAAGAATTGTCTGCTTTGCCGACTCTAGAACACGCAACATATAATTGTGTCTTTTGCATTAGTGTTAATTTAAATTGCATTATTAAGATTAACAAGAATGATTATTTGTTTATCACATACTCAAGCTTTTTGTATTTTTTAAACAGATGAAAGTAAAGTTTACTACTGTACTTCTAAATAACCAACAAATTTGCAATAAACTAAGAGTAGCTGAGGTAGCGTTATTAAAATATACATAAT